GAGAGAGAGAGAGAGCAAGGGAAACATTGAGCATAGAGGGATCTTTTGTTCAAAAGTTGACCATCTCGGTCGAGCGCATGAAGCGAAATGATTGTGCGTTCGTATTTTTTCGTAGCTCGAACCTAAAAGTAAGGAGCCGAGCGAGTCCAAAGCTGTCTGGGGTGCTAAAGCCTCAAAAAAAGCGTGCAAAAAGCTTTCCACTAGTTGTCTAGTCTATGTGTTCTCTGGTTAGTGGTTCAACGTGTTGCTTTTGGCATCTAATCTCAGCTATAGCTTGGCTAAAGTAATTGTACGCTAAATGGCTGAACATGTTTCGTCATAAATGTGTCTCGATCGCATGCAAAGCCGCGAATTCGATGCCGACTTTTATTAGAGAGCTACAGTTGTTGATAACTGCAGGGGAACACAAGTGTGCTGTGCCCATTCGTTCCGAATAAGTTCGATTGAACAGCTCATTTTAATGAACGACAGAGCTTCCTGTGTAAATGAATGAATGAACTAGTGATCGGCATCGGTTCACGGCAAATGAACAACAGTTAGCAACTCTAATATTTTGTATACATACATATGTATGTAGGTCGCACACATCCATTTCAGCTGGTGGCCTGATCCCAAACCTCGCCCCATCGTGTTTGTTTCCCCATAGCAGCGATGATTCATATATATATATATATTTTTTTTTTTTGGGGATCAAGCGAGAGCGGCATAACATAATTTTCCGAATGCATATTCATATACATATGTATGTGCACATATACATACATATATATTCACATATTTGTGTAAATATTTTTATTTTTGTTTTGTTTTAGTTGATTTTCTTTATTTTTTGCGTCGTTGCTTGTCGCTAATGATGAAATTTTTTCAGCTGTGACGTCATCGTTGGCGCTAGAAATACGCTTTCTCAGAACGCAACGATAAACAAAACAAACAAAAGCAAACGAATGGATCTTTTTTATGCGTTCCACAAATCGAGAAAAGATTATTGATGGGGGTAGCAGGAATTACGAAAAATTATAGATATGTATTGCAACTAATCTCTCTATTATATTTGTTGACATGTGATGGTCAAATGGTTCTCAATTGCTTTCAACTTGTCATAGTTTAAGAATTTAGATAATAGATATCTGTTTATGATTAAATTGTTGCGTACATGTGTGTGTGTGTATGTATGTACATATGTATGTACTTTAGGTATAATGGAAATTTTGTTTTGAATTGAGAACAACGCAATCAACAACTCGTTCCATTGCCCCCAAAAGATTGAAGGTCGTTTCCTGGGCAGTTATGAAGCAAGAAATCGACTCAAAAACAATGTTACACATTTAAATTCAATTGGCGCCGGAATTGAATTGAAATGTATTGACAACAATTACGTATACTATATGTATACATATATGTTTATGTTTGTATGTTTATATGTATGTATTCACTCTATCGAAACGAACACGAGGTCTAAAATTGTTTTTCTTCATGCCCAATAGTCACAGTGCTGATCATTTAAAACTGCGCTCAATTCGCATCTATTGTCTAAACAATTTAGATTCCTGTTCTATAAAGCTACACAAACAAAATTAAACAAAGATAACAACAAAACCATGTGCATTTTCACAGAGGACAATTGCATTGGGAAGCAAGCAGTTAGCATAAATCAACACTGCTAAAGTTGGATTTGTTTGAGTGTTATCTAACACTAGCAACAATTGGAGCCTGGCTTCAGAATTCGATGTGCGGCTATCGGCATTCGATAGTCTGTTTATTTCTATTTTTTCACATTAATAAGTATTACTTAAATATTTATTATTTCTTTGTCTGTGTGTGTGTGTTTTTTTCTTTGTAATATGAGCGAAAATTGTTTGCACACTTCGTTAAACAGCCATAAATCACACAGTAATAATTTAAACTTGTATGAAATAAAACAGCTGCGTTGTTTGGCGGAGTGACCCAGCTCGCATGACGAGGCCGCGCATTTATTAATTAATAATCGAACGACAATTAGAGCCTTTTACATCGATAATCGAAAGTTGACCTTGATAAAATGAAACTAAAACTTAGGGACAGTGACGTATTTAGGTGCCATCAACTGTTTCCAGCTGAGATGAGGGGAACAACACTTACTTGTTGCCAACTGCTGATAACTGTAAACTTTGTGGCGAATGTAGACATACAGATATAAATTATATACACTTGCTCGCAGAACTCTGCGTACACTTGCAAACAAACCCCTATTTCTATGTTTACATGTATATTGTATTTAATATAGAAGACTTAATGCAATACTTCTTTTTGTATAACAATTTTCATTTATTTATTAACATAATTATGGGTTTAGTTTTAATAATAAAATGAAAACATAATTATGTTAATAAATAAATGAAAATTGTTATACAAAAAGAAGTATTGCCTTAAGTCTTCTATATTAAATACAATATTCATGTAAACATAGAAATAGGGGTTTGTTTGCAAGTGTACGCAGAGTTCTGCGAGCAAGTGTACGTATGTATATATTATACGACTTGTGTTAGGTATTGTTTCAAGGGTCGATAGTGAGCAATTATATTTTGCCACAATTGACAATGATGTAGTTAAATGCAGATGATAAGCTTAACAGCTGTCTAGTCCGCCGATGCATTTGGATTTAGAGATAAACACGTTTTCGGACAATCGCTATGGCATGATAGACAAACATACATAAATGTGGGTAAATTGTTTCCCTTTCCGCCTCTGGCTTGCTCATAGAATTCCACGAATGATTACTACTGCGCATGTGGGTTTATCATTGTTGAGACAGGTCATTAATGACCGGCCAAGAGTCTAGCTGCATTTCACGCTAAATGCAGGTAGCGTACACAAAGAGCCAGACATGCGGACGACACAAGAGTCGGCAATGTCTTTTGTCTGCTTAATGTAACAACAACAAAAAACACAAAAGGAAAAGAAAGAGATAAGTGTGTGTGGGCGAGAAAAGGAAATGCGCACTGCATGCAGATGTTATCGATAGCAGTGCAGTCAATTAACAATTAACAGCAATGCATGTCAAACGCAATTATGTTTACATACAGCTGTTGCCTAGTGCAATGGCCCCTGCGCCAGTCGCCCGCATGCAGAACAATAAACAAAGCAGCAGACGCCAAAATAGAAGACAAATGTAAAGACTGATTGATCATCCCTTTTGCTCCCGTCTTCGGTCTCTTTCACTCTCACTCTATCTCGTCTTTGTTACTCACGCCTACACCGCAAGTGTGAGTAAATTGCGATCGATTAGCTATCGATAGCACACTTTTTATTATAGTTTATGTCAGCGAACATTTCATTATATTATATTTGTACAGATTAGTTGAATGGCTTTAATCAATTTTGATTTTTAATCTGATCAAAAGCCAGCAAACAAAAACAGTCGGCTAACGGATTCCAGATGTCAGCCTGACCACACCCCAAGTAAATATTAGCCAGTAGCAATAAATACTATATAGCATGGCCTAGATGTTAATGACTTTTCTACGTGTAAATGCGTCATATTTTTATTGTTTGTTAACAAATATCTGGGTGGGAATTATATATACACACATTTTGTATGCATGGGTTTAAAACTGCTTAGGGCAATACCAAAACAAACGACAGATTGTCTCCACCTACATATCCTCTTTTATCTGGCAACGACAACAAATTGGGTTTGAAGGCATAGGATCAGATGGCAACAGTGACCCAATTTACCTACTACGCACTTTAAGGCGCACGAAATAAGAGCAAACAAGTATTTGTATTGAGATACGTACACTAACACATTCACACATTCATTTGTACATGCATACATGTAAGTTTGTGTTGGGCAGGCAAGCAAACAATAACAGCTTAGCCAAAAGCAAAAACAACACCAATGCGGCTCCCACTAACACACTGACTTTTTATGCTGCCTATGCCAGCGACGACGCGTCGACGCCAACGTCAGCGCGAGCACTACTGTTGCGCGCGTATCGGGGCCTGTGTGCTTCAGACATGCAGTAACAGAGAGCAGTTAGAGCAGCTGAAAAAACGTTACGTGGGGTGGCTGGTTGGCATTGGTAATAACAACAACATCAGCAGCAAGCCTATCACTGATTTACTTTCCGTCATTAACGGGAGTATTGATATCGGTATCATTCGTTGTTATCACGTCGTTTAACGCCCACAAATTCAAATCTTTGTGCAAAACTAGTGCACACAAAATGCAAAACAACAACAACAACAACAGCAAAAGAAACAGCAATATGGAGAATAACAGTGTAAATCTGAAAATAAAACAACAGCTTTTGTCACACTCTTATGACTTTGCTTTTTGTTCTGCCTCTGCTTCTTCTTCGTTTTGTTCACATTGTTGTAGTTCATCGCCCTTGAATCGCTGGCTGCTGTTGCCAAAAGGGGCCGGGGCCTGTGTAAGGGGTTGGGGCTCAGGCAAGGTAATGTCAGCGCACATTATTCTGTTTGTTTCTGTTGTTGCGTTGCGTAGTTGTTGTTGTAGTTGTGCATGCGTCAGCTGTTCTTTTTTGTGCATTTCAATCGCTGCTTACACTTACCTTAAATTTAATTGTTTAGCTATTTAAATTCGTCCTGAGCAGGCGGGCCTCACACACACACTCACACAAGCACACTTGAACACACACATACACACACACACACACTGACGCACGTTTTTTGCACGTTTTATAATGAATGAGTTTTTTGTATTTTTATTGGTTTTTGGCTATTACATGACATCGGGCCAGCGTTTGTTGCGATTATTGAAATTAAGGAATTATTGTAAATTAACTACACTATGTACACAATTATAGACGTATTTTGTTTGAAATATATACAAAAACAAAACGCGAAAAACGAAAGGTTCCCGTCGTCGTCTTTCACGCGCACTCCACCCACACGACGTGCCACACTCTCGGACGTGGAAAAACAAATGAACGCTGGTCCACTCGCGTTTTGTACCAGAGCGCAGTTCCGTTGCTGAATGAACTAGTTACCGTGAACCATGCACAACCAACACATTTTGAGCAAAAGGCCACAAAATTAGTGAACACCTATTTAAACAGAAAGCAATAAGTAAATATATAAATTATATGCATAGAGAGTTCAATGAGCAACATTTAAAATTTAATATGATGAATATAATTTTGATATTAGTTGAAATATTTTTATTTAGTAAAAGTAGTCCCATATAGCTGTATACCTTATAATTTATAATCCCATATATAAATTTAATTACATGTAATTTTTCTTTTTTAATTTATTAATTTAAAAGGTATAAAAGTCTATCAAATTCAACAAAAGAATCTAGTAAAATTATTGCAAAATGTTCGACAATTAAACAAGTTGATTGCAAGACAATTTTAAATTTATAAATAAACTTACAATTCATTCATAATATTATATTATAATATGTATTGAAACAGGCCTAAACAACATTTGTTAGTTATTTATAGCCGGGCAGATAATGTTATTGTGTGGGCAACCTAATGTTAGATAAACGTAATGTTGCTGTGGTACTCAAAATGGTCCATCAGCTAGGTAACTTATTCAAATGAACTGGTTGAGAGAAAGAATTATCGAAAGCAATCGCTTTTTTTTTTGTTTTTTTGGCGCCAATTTGATGTGAATTGGCTTTTTTAAATCTGATTTTAGACCGAACATTTATTAATAGTAAAATGACGCCGTTAGACAATATCAATTACAATTATTGTTGAATCGCAAGAAAATGTCAGTATTCGAATATCCGCGTGTGTTTCGCATTTGGTTACTGTTACTGTTACATATGTATTAGTATCACTTTTGATTTCAAACTCAATTCACGGATGGGGATTTAGCCCATGGTTGTCAAATGTTTATTGGTGCCAACGGCGCCAGCTGGCGCATCGTTGGCAACACAAGTGGGTATGGCACTCGACCATTTGCCATTTTTCATGCACTTGAGGACCTTGGAGCCGCGCAGCTCAAGGCCGGCATCACAGGTGAAGGTGATGCTCTCGCCGATGGCATAGTAGAACTTAACGGAGGACATGCGACCGCTGATGGCGGTGCCTGGATACGAACAGGCCTGCACACATTTGGGCAAACCGCCCGACCAGCGTCCGTTATCCTGACAGGCAATTATTGGCTGACCTTGCATCATATATTCCGGGTTGCAATTGAATTGGACCACGTCGCCGGCACGATATGGTGCCGAGCCCTGGGCGTAACCGTTTTGCGGCGCGCCCGGATTATCGCATTGCACTTCGACACAGGTGGGAAACGGTGTCGCCCATTCGCCCGTAGGCAAACAGATGGCCTCCGTGGGGCCGCGCAATCCGTAACCCGTGGAGCAGGAGAATGCCGCTCGCCCGCCCACCTCACGCGACAGCACAGAGACGCGCGGTGAGCTAACATTGTTCGGCATTAGCGGTATATCGCCGCACTCCACGCTCTCGCAAACCGGCAACAGTGCGCTCCAATTGCCACTGGGCAAGCAAAACAGCTCCGATGCGCCAATCAACGAGTTGCCATTCGAACAGGACAACAGCACGCGTGTGCTCAGTTTCGTATCGTTCGTGCTTACGATCAGGCCACGCCTAGTCGGTATCTCTGGACAATTGATCGCCTTCACCACCACCTCGACGGCATGCTCGTGCCTGGCCGGTGTCATGCAGGAGTAAATGCCGGTATCGTCGGCAGCAGCATCGAATATGCTCAACCGATACTCCAGTGTTGAGTCTCGACCCTCGTCTGCCTCGGTTACCCAGCCCTCAGTGTAGTTTCTGGAAATGAATGAATCAGCGGCAGAAAGAGATGGTGTGATTGAACAGTTCCACATGGATCGCATCGCTTGCTACCCACTTGTGTGTGTGACTGACGTTCCATTTGGGATTGCCGAAGCGTCGCATCCAGAGACATTCCATGTGCAGCGTGGTGCCCGGATACACAATCAATTTGCCATCGTTGCTCTGGGCAATGGGCCCGTTCTGGTGACGAAACAGAATGGTGGGTGCCTTCTCCACTGCGGGGGAATATCACTTGTGAATATCTTTTAGAATACAAGGCAATCTAAGTGCGCTACCCACTCGCATAATCGTTCTCCTGATTCAGGCCAGAGCACACGGGCTTCGTGTTTGTCCACTCGGAGTGAATGCAGGTGCGCTCATGACTGCCCGTCATGGAGAACTTGCCAATGTCCACGCATCTATGACAGAGGATTTAGGAGGAATTAGTCCGATAGATTTGGGCTGACGCCACGTACCTGGATATAATTGTAGCGCCTGGCGGAAATTCCACAATGTCCTCTCTTATCTCCAAATCGTTGTAGAAGCTAACCACATTTGCCTCATTGTTGCGAAACAAACACGTGCCGTTCTCTGTGTGGGAGGAAGCTCATCTCAGATTGAAGCTGCATCAGAGCGCGACTCAGACTTACCGCAGTTATAGGAGCGACCTATCCACTGTCCATTGTCGCAGATGATGCGCCAGGTTTGCCGATCGCCTGCGGCGTTGGGGATGCAATTGAAGAAGATCTCTGTGCCGCTCTCGTAGGCGCCTTCTATTTCCGCATGGTCAGCGTTTCTAAAGGGAGAACAGAAGAGGCAAGTTTAGTGAGCAGGTTCACTCAATTGGGGTAAGGATCATCTAAGGCTGACTCACTTGTAGACCAAAGCGCCGTCTGTCAAACTGGGATGTCCGCACATTTTCAACTCCTCGCCGTGCTCGTCTGTATTGTTATCGTGATGATCGTTGTCCAATTCGTTGTGCTCGATTTTGCTGTGCGTTGTGGGCGTGGGCGTGGCATGTTCCAGTTCCTCGCGAGACTTGCGCAAGCCGGTTTCACAGTGTACGCTGGGAGGGGTTAGGACGCCCTTATGACAGGACATCTCAATGGGATTGGCATTCGTGGACAGCTCACAGCGCACGCTGACTGTGCTGCCATGGCCAATGGTCAGGCCAGCGCGATAGCCGCCCTGCAGGAGAAACCCCAGTTACAGCAACTCAAATGCAAACTTTGGGGAAATGTTTTGAACTTGCCTCATAGATAACGCCGGGTATGTTGGGCAGGGTGCAGGGCAAGGAGGTGCACTCGGAGAAGGCGTTGACAGACCAGGAGCCATGAGCGCAGCGCAGCTGAGCAGAGCCCTGAAAGTGAAAGCGTGAAGCGAGAGAGGTTTAGATCTAGCTTGCTTGGAGTCTAGTGGCCCACCTGTATATTGAATCCATCCTCGCATTCCAGGGTTATGAATTCATTTGACTGAATCTCCTCGTAGGTGGAGAGTGGCGTCAGGGATGGCTTGTCGCTTAGCTGTTTGGTGTGCGGCTCCACCTTGTAGTACTGTCCGTGCTCCACGGCTGGCACCAGACACGGAGCGGACATACACTTGGGCACATCCGGCTTCCAGATGCCGCGTATGCAACGCGCAGTCGCATTCTCGCCCTTGATGTTGAGCTTGAAGCCCGCATTGCACTCCAGCTGCAGCATTATGCCCACCGAGTTTCTGCCCGGCGCTTTGCCTGGACGCACTACCGTTATGTTGGCAAACGAGTCCCAGTCGAGCTCCTCGCAGGGACCTCGCAGTCGCTTGCCACCGGCTGCCTTGTTGGCGTCAGCCCCGTCACTCGTATCCAGCTCGGTTTCGGGCGGCGGTGTGCCCGTGGCGCCGATGCTGGTGCTGCGCCTGCGCCGTCGCCGCACAATTTGAGACTTGAGCTGTTCGATCAAAGTTCTTGTGGCGTTGCCATGCAGCTTGCGCTCCACCGAGCCATGCGAGAGCGGAGCTGGTGCCTCGTTGGAGTTGCGCGAGTGGCTGTAACGTGAGCTCTGATTGATGTCGGGCAGAGGCAGCGATCCACGTCCACGATGCTCAGCGATATCCTCCTCGACCTCGTTGCGCCACTTCTGTGAGGCCCTGCGCATCATGTCCAGCTCAGGATTATTGTACTGGTTATACCAGCGTCCATTCTGGCCGTGCGTCTGCTGGAACAGTCGATTGTGGCCTAGGATTTTGCGCACATAGCGCTGGTAGCGTTCCTTGATCTTCTGATAGTACTTGGAGTAGGCCAACTCAATGTCCGAGGGACTCTCATTGTTATGGGCGTTGCGCTTGACGCGTGCAGCCATCGCTACTCCAGCTGCGGGCTGAACGGCGGCAGATTGCAGACCTAGGAAATCCTGATGCTCTGCCAGCTGCCGTTGCAGTTGACGCTGGCGTCGCAGCAAATAGATGGAGCGCAGTTGACGCAGCTGCAGTGAACGGCGCCGACGTCGATTCCAGCGCAGACGCGGATGCTGGCTGAGCAAGCACTGCGGCAAGTCCAGGGGACGCCATTTGCCACCCACGCAAGTAGCGCCTGGCGGACCCACCTGAAGGACATCAAATGAGGAACTGCTTAACTGAACTTAAGTGGGCAAGTCAATAGCTCACCTCCAGCACGTAGCCCTTGTCGCAGTCGTACATGATTTGCTTGTTGTTCACAATCTTCTTGACATACGGACGATAGTCGTAGAGGCCCATGTTGCCCACGAGCAGCACCTTGCCGTGGGGTATGTAGCCCGGAAATGAGCAGAACACCTCGTCACACTTGGGCGTCTCGCCCGTCCAGTTGCCAAAGGAGCAGGTTAGCACATAATCGTGTGGATCCGTGATATCCTTACCCTCGGGGCTGACCAGCTTAAAGCCGTCCTTGCACTTGAATCTCGCCTTCATGCCGTGCTCCGTCTTCGGGGCCATTACCATGCCGTGCTTCGGCGGCTTCGGCATGCTCTTGCAGCGCGCTGGCACACAACGTGGTATGATGCTCCAGGTGCCGTTGTTACAGGTCGGTGGACTTACCAATGAAACGGGAAACTCATAATTCTCATCGCACCTCACCTCCAGCGCTGTGCCGTGCTTGACCTTCTCCACTCCGCCCACAATCTGCGTCGGCGACGGCGTTGTCGTCG